TAGAGACGGGGTTTCACCGTGTTGACCAGGATGGTCTCGATCTCTTGACCTCGTGATCCACCCGCCTCGGCCTCCCAAAGTGCTGGGATTACAGGCTTGAGCCACCGCGCCCGGCTAACAAGAGTCAATCTAACAAGAGTGGATCTTGTTAGATTTGACTTGTATGGGTCCTGGCCATTTTCACGGTGGCACAGAGCTAATGAATTCAGCGTTGTTTCCAGCCCTTTGTAAGTTTCTTCGTGCAGCAACCTGAACAGTGAGAGCGGACCCTCCTCACCTCTCTCAGGTATCTCTGGACATTCACACTAATTTGACCTACTTGGCAGTTGTGGTTAAGCCTTTTTCTTCATCATCATCTCCTTTGTTGCTTGTCCTGTGCTTGAGCTGACACAGGGCTGGGGGTGAGGAAGATTTCCTCCTAAGGAAGAAAGCGTTGAGGGGAGAGCTTAGGATGTACAGGAATCATCTAGAAACAGCTCAAGGCGGGCAGATCACCTGAGGTCAGGAGTTCGAGACCAGCCTGGTCAACATGGTGAAACCCCATCTCTACTAAAAATACAAAAATTAGCCAGGCGTGGTCACATGCACCTGTAATTCCAGCTATTCAGGAGGCTGAGGCAGGAGAATCGCTTGAACCCAGGAGGTGGAGGTTGCAGTGGGCCAAGATTGCGCCACTGTACTCCAGCCTGGGTGAGAGTAAGACTCCATCTCAAATAATAATAATAATAACAGGCTGGGCCCAGTGGCTCATGCCTGTAATCCTAGCACTTTAGGAGGCTGAGGTGGGCAGATCACTTGAGCCAAGGAGTTTGAGACCAGCATGGACAACATGGTGAAACCCTGTCTCTACAAAAAATACAAAAATTAGCTGGGCATGGTTAGCTCCAGCTACAGTACTTGGGAGGCTGAGGTAGGAGGATCACCTGAGCCCAGTGAGGTTGAGGCTGCAGTGAACTGTGATTGCACCACTGCACCCCAGCCCGGGAGACAGAGTGAGACCCTATTTCAAAAAAGAAAAACTTCTTATTTATAACAAGGCAAATTGCATATGTATGCAGTAACTCTAAAAACAGAAAAGAGAAGGGTATGCTGAGTGTACAAAGGGATGTATGGTGGAAAATGTCATATTGTAGCTTCTGTGTACTTTGTACTATCACACGTTTATGGTAAGGACTTGGAGGCAGTGCATTTGATATGGGTATGTATATCAATGTCAAGTGTTAAGTGGTTTTTTCTTTGTTTTCTTTGTGAATGTTCTAATACAGACCAAATTGGCAGAATGAAATGGGAAGAAGATCTTTGCCATCCTTTGAAACGCTGGACTATGGGGAAGAAGAGGACACTGAAACTCAGCTGTCATCCGGCTGCAAGGAGTTGGGGTATGTCGGTGCCCAGAAGGATGAAGGAGGCCACGGTGATGACGTGTATGCTGTGCCACACAGAAATCAGGTGCTTTCCATGATCCCAGCTTCCTTCTTGACCCTCACCCTGATGTTTAAGTTTTGGTAAATTAGTGCATTGCTAAGGATTTCTTCTCGCTGTTCCACATTTGATAGCATTTGCTTTGGGGCTTATTTTTTAAACGTGTCCAGCCTCATTTCTCTCTGGTTAGATTAAAAAGAAGTTTTTCTTTACCCTGCAAAAACGAAGATGAATATCTTTACATTCTTTCTTTTTTTTTTTTTTTTTTTTTTTTTTTTATTTTTTTTTTTTTTTTTTTTTTTTTTTTTTTTTTTTTTTTTTTTTGAGACGGAGTTTCGCTCTTGTTACCCAGGCTGGAGTGCAATGGCGCGATCTCGGCTCACCGCAACCTCCGCCTCCCGGGTTCAGGCAATTCTCCTGCCCCAGCCTCCTGAGTCGCTGGGATTACAGGCACACGCCACCATGCCCAGCTAATTTTTTGTAGTATTTTTAGTAGAGACGGGGTTTCACCATGTTGACCAGGATGGTCTCGATCTCTTGACCTCGTGATCCACCCGCCTCGGCCTCCCACAGTGCTGGGATTACAGGCTTGAGCCACCGCGCCAGGCCATCTTTACATTCTTAATGTGGACTTCCATTCAAAGCTTAGCAATCTTGCTCTTTTCTTTCACCCCGGAAGCTAAATTTCCAGTCACTTTGTGGTATCATTTTGCACACCACATCCTTCCTTTCAATTCGTGCCTGACGGGGAATATGGCCATGCGCCTCTCAGTGGGAGCTGACATACCTGTGCGCGCCTCTGTTTCCAGCTCCTGTGTGCATTCATCTTAGCTGACTCGGTGAGGAGTTCCCTTCATTGCCCTGTCACACATCAGGGAACCACATGCAGAGGGATTCAGGGAAACACACTTCTCCACTGCCAGCTGCTCTGCAAATCCCGATGTTTAAACTGCTCCCGGGGTTTTGGAAACTAGATGATATTTCTTTCATGGCAAGATAGAGCACCATTTCTCTTTTTCCTTTATCTTTATTTATTTTTTTTTTGAGACAGGGTCTGACTCAGTCCCCCAGGCCGGAGTACAGTGGTACAATTTTGGCTCACTGCAGCCTCAACCTCCTGGACTCAAGCAATCCTCCCACTTCAGCCTCCCAAGTAGCTGGGGCTATAGACATGCACCACCATGCCTGGCTAATTTTTGTGTTTTTTGTAGAGACAGGGTTTCCCCATGTTGCCCAGGCTGGTCTTGAACTGCAGACCTCAAGCGACCCACCTGCCTCAGCCTTTCAAAGTACTGGGATTACAGGCGTGAGCCACCATACCCAGCCCCTTTTCTTTTTTCACCATCATTATAATGTGTTATTCATAGTGTCTATACATATAGACTGGCAGCATTAAGCCACACCATTATTGATTATATGTATATTGATTAGCCTCTACTACATTAAAAGACTTCTTTAAAAAAAATCGAGATTGGGGGGTCTCACTGTCTCCAGGCTGGAGTGCAATGGCACGATCATAGCTCACTATAACTGCCTCCTCCTAGGCTCAGGCAATTCTCCCACCTCAGCCTCCTGAGTACCTGGGGCTACAGGCACGTGGTACTGTACTTGGCTTTTTTTTTTTTTTTTTTTTTTTTTTTTTTTTTTTTTCCCCCCCCTCTCTAAAGGGACAGGGTCTTGCTATGTCAGCCAGACTGGCCTTAAACTCCTGGGCTTAAGTAGTCCTCTTGCCTCAGCCTCCCAAAGTGTTGAGATTACAGCCATGAGCCAACACACCTGGCCCTAAAATACATTTTAAATGGTCTTAGGGAGCTTATTTTGAAGGATCCTTATGTGGTTGTTTCATGAACTCACCATCATTTTCCAGCATATACAGACTTTCACATGTAGAATTAGGTTTCTCATAGCAAGGAGCTCTGGAATAGGCAGGCACTGCCCAGAGCCCCAAGGAGGGAGGTGCTACTGCCGGGCTCTCCTGGGCTCAGCGTTGGGCCCACTGCTCCTACCTGTACACTTGCCGGCTGGTTATTTTGCACCGATGCTACAGATAGTTATATCACTCCACTTTTCTAGAGGGAAAGCTTGCTACTGTATTTCCCTTGGAAGAAAGCGATACAGTGACCTACAGAGACTCTTTCCTTGTTAGAAGGACAAATATTTTGGTTTTTTTAAGGCAAGTCTGTTAGGGTGGCTCTAGGAGCCATGTGTAGTAGGAAAATTTTTAAATGTGAAAAGTAGAAAATAATAGATAATACAATGTTACTACTGGGGTTGATGTTAGGTTTTCTCCCAACCCCACTTGGAAACCCATCTTTTCTTGGATTTGGAGTGCATGCTGGAAGTTTGTGTTTTTATTCTTTTACTACAAGTTTAAGTAAATAACTATAGTACTGTTGTATTATAGTTTTGTTTGTTTGTTTTGAGACAGAGTCTCGCTCTGTCACCCAGGCTGGAGTGCAGTGGTGCAATCTTGTTTCACTGCAACCTCCGCCTCTGGGTTCAAGTGATTCTCCTGCCTCACCTCCCAAGTAGCTGGAACTACAGGCACCCACCACCACAGCCGGCAAATTTTTGTATTTTTAGTAGAGATGGGGTTTCACCATGTTGGTCAGACTGGTCTCAAACTTCAGACCTCAGGTGATCCACCCAAAGTGTTGAGATTACCAGCGTGTGAGCCATTGCATCCAGCCAGGCCTTTTAAAGTATATTTATAGAAGGCATCACAAATTCTTTACAAAGGTATGTTTTTAATAGACTTATTTATTGATATATAAAATATGTACAAGGGGTGAATAAATCTAAGTATACATTTCAATAAATTTTCAAAAACTAGCCGCCACTCAGATTAAGGAAAAAATTACTTGGACCCTAGAAATCCCCCTTCTTCTTAGTTACTATTTCCCACAGAGTTAATCATTGCCAAGATTAGCTTTTATCTTTAAAAATAACCTGAGATTGGCTTTGCCTGTTCTGAAAATTTACATGAATTTTATTGAACGGTATGCACTGTTAGGAGTTTTGGAGTCTTCACTTACTGTATACAGCAGGGGCTGATTCATTCTCATTTCTGTGTATTTTATTGTACAACTGCTATTCAGTTACTCGTTTTACTGATGACAGAGACTTAATTGTTTCCAGTTTGGGGCTCTTAGGAATAGTGCTGCTGTGGACATTTGGGGATGTGTCCCTTGATGTACATATTTGTGTGTTTCTGGTGGGCGTATACTGAGGAATGGTGTGTGTATGGTCATAGGGCATATGTACCATCAGCTTTAGATTGACAGTAGATACTTTCAAACAGTTGTCCATATTGGGCATCTTCCTGATGCTTTTTTTTTTTT